CCAGGGAGTCTCTGGGCTCTCCACGCAGAGGGTCCTTGGCAGAATGGCTGGAGCCATTGGTGCAGCCATAGGTGCAACCGGAGGGATCCTGGGGCTGTCTGTGTAGAAGGTGCCCTTCACTCCAGGTCCTGGAGCTGAGGCACAAGCTGGGGGTCCCAGGACACTCCATGTAGGGGACTGGAGTGGCTGAGTCAAGGTGGCATGCAGGCCAGTGGTACTCTTCCCAGGAGATGCCCTACTTCCCAGGACAGCTGTAGCTGAACTGAGTGTGCACGCCAGGGCAGTCCCGGGGCTCTCCACGCAGAGGGTGTCCTGGAAGGACAGTTGAAACTGAAGTGGGTGCAAGTCAGTATCCAGGGGTGCCCCCATGGAGGGGTGCTCTGGCAGGGTGGCTGGAGCCGAAGCAGGTATGGATTGGGAGATCCCCGAGTGCTCTGCATTAACAGAGCTTTAACAAGCTGCCTGAAGCTGAAATGGGGCAAGCCTGTGTTCTGCGGTGCTTTGCATCTGTATCGCCTTGGCACAACAGCCAGAGCTGTAGTGAGCGCCAACCAGGGGTGTCCCGGCGCATATAACACTGGGGCTGCCTTGGTGGGACAGCTGGGGCTGGAGTGGATTAGTCGCCTGGGGCTCATTGAGGTGGCAGGCTATCTAGGGCACCCGTACACTGCTACTATTCCCAGTGTCAAGGTGGAGGGGAAGGAGAAACTGTGTCGCTTACCAGCTTCTCTGACCCGGAGAGAGTTCCAGCAGGTCTCCCATTGTTTGGGAGAAGTTGTGGGACTGGATCTTTTGTATACTAGTTTCTCTCTCTTTTTCTTTTAATTGTTTTGAGAGAGAGAGAAAGAGAGAGAGTGAGTAGGGCAGAGGGAGAAAGAGTAGGGCAGAGGGAGAGAGAGAGAGAGAGAGAGAGAGAGAGAGAGAGAGAGAAAGTGAGTAGGGCAGAGGGAGAAAGAGTAGGGCAGAGGGAGAGAGAGAGAGAAAGTGAGTGAGTAGGGCAGAGGGAGAAAGAGTAGGGCAGAGGGAGAGGGAGAGAGTAGGGTGGAGGGAGAGAGAGAGAGAG